AAGGTACCACGCTCCCAGCACTCTTGTCACACAAAGTTCTGGTGCTTTACCACGACAGCCCAGCGTCGGGCGGCCATGATGGATTGTGAAGGACGTACAGGAAACTAATAAAAAGGTTCTTATGGCCGAACATGAAGCACGAACCGAAACAGTACACAAAATCGTGTCATTGCTGCCAAATGCACGAAGTCAGGTTCAAACAAACCTAGGATGAGATGAAACTTCCCAAATACTCGAAAAAAACATTTAAAGTTGTCCATCTAGATTTTGCAGAGTTGAAAAAGAAAGATGAAGGAGTCAAGAAGATGCAAGCCTTCTTGCTTTGCATAGATGAATACACCAGAAGAGTGGTTGCAAGACCTGCCTTCCGAAGCAACAAGCTAAAACAGTGGGCACAAGAGCATGGCATTCTTCTTAAGCTCTTGGCTTCGTACCACCCTGCTGCAAATGGCTTAGCTGAACACTCAATTAGGGACATAAAGCAGTTTATCAGCTTGTACCAAGGTTTTCCAGGTGGATGGAAATGCTGCCTTGAAGCAGCAATTGCTCACAACAACCGATCTTTCACGACGGGCCTAGGCTGCAGCCCACAATTTGCAGCGACTGGAGAAGCACCTTTCCTTTTAGCAGACTACAAACTGGGACTGACAGAAAAGTTGAGACTCGAAGAAAAACTGAAGACTGACGCCGAAAGCAGAACTTGCAGAGACTCCACAAAATACAACTTCGACAAGCGTCGCAACGCCAACATTCCGAAGCTCAAGGTTGATGGCCTCGTCCTAGTTAGACGGGAGCCACTCAGTAAAAGAAAATGCTTCGACGGACCATTCCGCGTTCTAAAAACAGCAACGCAAGAAGGAGTCCTAAAAACCACCTGGTACATCGGGTCTAGGAACACCATAGAAACAACGTCAATTGGAAATGTCGTTCAATATCATCCAAGGATGGATGAGTCCAAAGCGTGGTAGAGTGAAGTGGATTCGGATCAGATCGGCGACGACGACGACGAGCAGGGGGAATCGAAGGAGAAAAAGATGAGAACAATATACGCAATAATGTAAAATAAATCGACTTTTTAGATTAACCAATGAGTTTGTAATATCAATCTAGGGACCATTACATAAGAGAAAACTACCGTAAAACACCGGGGGAGCGCCCACTCCACTTTTACCACAAACCAGGTTAATCTTGACATGGGTGCTCGTCCAGTCAAATCGGGTGCTTCACATAGAATTTGCGGGATTCCCAAGTTTGGGAAATGTTAATAATGAATGACTGAACAAAGTGGGCGCTTCCTCGGTATTTTACGGTATGCTGTTGGGACCCATTGTATGTTCTTATATTTTTGCTAAATTTGTTTTGAAAATGGCACGATAGTTTTGTGGATAAATCTATTTATATGCGGGACCCTCGGATCCATCCCATTCGAAAATGCTGTCGCGTTTGTTGGGTCAGTGACGTCACCCGCCCAACGCATGGTGCCCCCAGCACGCACTCGCAGACTTCACTCTCACAGCATCTCGCGCTTCAGCTTTCATGTTTACCTTCCGCGCTTCGAGCACGCAGTTTCCAGATGGTGACATCTACGGCATCACTCGCTTCGTCAAAGTCTTTGACACTGATCGCAGCAGCGATGGGAGTGATGTTATCAAAAGATGTTAGAAGCTAGTCATTTTGACATCGACCGGGACACGATCAGCTCCAGCGACGACGATGAGATCGTCATGGGCGAAATCGCCGTCGCACATGTGTATGCGGGGTGGAAGACCAGAGGACAAGGGGACAAGAGCGAGAGTGTCGTTGGAGTAGCCAAGCAGCGTGAGAGCATGCGATCGTACTGTGGCGAGGCGAGCTGAGCCAGGATAAGGGTGCCTAGAAGGAGAGAGCGTTCAACTAAATATGATGATCACGTCATTTTTTGGCCACCATTGTGCGACTAACTCGAGCAGTGTTGCTTGGCTGCCGGATGAAGATGATCGACATTCATAAATTTATCACTGCAATTACTAGAGCTCTAAAAATCGCAAAGCTTGCTGTATATACTAAGTAATTTTTCAGCATTCAATTCCAAGAATAATCTGCCTGTTTAATTTGCCTCCTCTAACCACTTTAAAGGTTCTTTTTTCGGTTTCACCAACCGATAGGCCGTGGCCAACAAACCCTGCTAAGCCATCTTGGACCGAAAATATTTTACCGTTGCCTCACCTGGTAAACATAGAAAAAAAGGTCCCGAACTTCAAGCTTCACCCAAAGGTATATGCAGCATCAATATAATTTAGATTTTTGTTTATTTGTTCCACATCAAGAACTTCATTGGGTCAGATAAACAGAATGTAGCCTTCTCATTTTTCAGCCATTTTGTTGCTGTTGTTTTCTTTTCCTAGTTTTTAGCTGCAAAAGCATAACTACTTCCAACACTTTCATGAAAAAAAGGCAAAACAACTTAGCAGGCATTGAAGTTTCAAAGGAAGTGAATGTAGAAACAACCAAGAAAATAGTGCAATGGCAACAGCAAATAATCATGAAATGATCAAGTTGGTTTCATGGCACCAGTTGCTAAGTATAAAGGGTGTTGTCTCTAAAGAAAGGCTTTTGTGAGATTGAGCTTAAAGTATGTTTTCAAGAAAGTGCTTAGATATGTTTAAGCGTTTCTGAAAAGAAACATACAGTATACAGTAAACTCTCACTTGAGAGAACGTCGGTTTAACAAATATTTCAGAATAACGAACTTTAAAAAAATCCTTGGCAGTTTTCCTATGCATTCTATGCAAAAATCTTTCAGTTAAACGAATTAACGAATTTCGGAACAGTGAATATTTCAGTTCAATGAACTTGATCGGTGGACCCAGGATTATTTTTGCAATCAGTTCAATGAGGTTTCGTGCTCTGCAGTGATGGCGTAGCCGATGCCAGCCGCCCTGCCACTGCCGCCTCTGCAGCAGCGGCGTGTCATCGCTGGCGTTTTCAGCGCTGCCGAGGCAAGGCGTTGCGGCAGACGAAAACCAACCACGTAGTGTGTCTGTTTTTTCTTTGTCATCGGTTTCGTTCGGCCATCTTAGTTTTGGGTAACTACGGCAGGACGGCAGTTTGCGCGCCCACTTTCGTAACGAGTACGACGAAATGGAAGCAGTTGTCTCTATCAGAAAAGCTGCATTTGAAAAGGAATATAAACATTCTAGGAAGAGGCTGCGGACGTTGGCACATCCCCAGCTCGAGCACACTCTCGTCCTGTGGATAAAAAACATTCGTAGCAGAAAGCTTCCAGTGAGTGGGCGAATAATTGCAGCCAAGGCGATGGTATTCGCAAACCAGACGGCTATTGAAGAACTTTCGGCATCGGACGGGTGACTGTCACAATTCAAGGAATGCCGCAACTTTACTTTCAAGACCGTTTGCGGTGAGAAGGCTGACATGGACAGAGCCGCATGCAAAGAGTGGCTATCCAGGGAGCTGAAAGATCGCCTTGCGTCGTACTCACTCGACAACATGTTGAAGGCGGACGAGACGGCAATCTATTACAAATTGCTCCACAACAAAACAATCCCTTTTCAAGGCGACGACTGTGCCGGCGGGTAAAAGGAGCAAAGAAAGGCTTACGGTGATGGTGTGTGCAAACGTGAAGGGCACGGAGTGATGCCGGTTGCTCATGATCGGCAAAGCTACTAAACCTCGCTGTTTCAAAGGTGTGAGGACCCTTCCCGTTGATAACTTTGCAAACAAAAAGGCAAGGACGACCATGAATTTTTTCTTTTTCAGACTGGCTCCATGCATTTGATAAAAAAGTAGCTTTAAAAGGGCGGAATATTTCGCTTTTTATTGACAACTGCACAACGCACTGCAATGTCCAAGAACTATGTGCGATTCTCTTGGTGTTCCTGCCAAAGAACACGACATATCAGTGCTGCAGCCAATGGATATGGGTGTCATCCAAAACCTAAAAAACTTGTATCGAAGGCACATCGTGGAGAGAATGCTTTCGTGTCAAAACAGCAAGAAGAAATATGCCATAAATCGCCTCGGCGCAATTTAGATTCTCGTCACTATGTGGAACTCCATCAAGCCGGAGACCAATGCCAGTTATTTTCGGGAATGCGGTTTCGGCGAACATGCGGCTGGAGGCGAGGTGGAAGAAGCGGAGCAGATTTCATCTGGCGATAACTGCTTGCCTGACAGCGTCAGCGGTGTATTCCTGGACGGCATAACTTCCGAAAGCTATGTGGAGGTGGACACCGGTGTAGAGAGCTATGGCATAATAACTGACGCCGAGATCATTCAGGCTACGTGCCCTAAACAGGCCACATCTGAGGATCCTTCAGCCCTCAGTGACGAACATTCTGATGCCAACGAAGAAATGCCCCCACCCCCTAGTACAACTGATGTAGCGTCGGCGCTGGACAGAACCACACACTACTCCTCTTGCCAGGAGAATCCGGATGCCACGTTAGAGTTAGTCTCCAAGCCCTATGCGATGTTTGTTGATTAACAACCGAGGAACCGTGCACAGGCACGCATCACAGATTACTTCCATTCGGGATCGGTGTAAATAAATGTCCCAGAACTCATCACTCGTGTGTTAGCTGTGTTAGCTCAGTGCACATGCGCCGCCTAACGTAGTGCCACACGTAAGTACTCCATTTAATGAGCTTCCTTTAATTCAAACTCCATTTAATTCAAACAAATTTTCGGTCCCCCTCGAGTTCGAAATAACGAGATCTGACTGTATTAATATATTTTTACGCAGTACTAATACTAAAACAGTATTAGTATAAGATTACACAGGCATTCTTCCAGTCAACTGAACCACTTGCAAGGAGCCTCGCACTGTTTTGCGTGCCTTGTGCCTTTGAACTGCTAATCTTCCCACGCATGGAAACCTCAGAAGAGACCTGTGACCTTGTGGGCTTTCAACAAGCGTTTCAGACAAAGCCGAGCGCTCATCGGGTGGCGCAGTGGTGTGTGGGAATGACCGCATAATTCCAGACGTGAAAGGAGACACTTACCTGGCCCTCCTACTTCTTCTTCCTGTCGGTGGAGCACTTGGGGCAGAACCACTTCCCTTTCGGTTTACTCGTCAGGCCCACGCAGGTGAAGTGGAACCACTCTATGGGACACTGAAACACAACAGCAAGCTTGTGACAGACAAAGTTCCCAGTGGGCTTACAGTCTGCGGGATGTCCCGCGTGGAATGCAATTAACCATATTTTTCGCCCACCAGATACAGTCGACTCTCGTTAATTCGAACTCGAGGGGGACCGAACGTCTCTATAGGAGTTTCCTCCTATAGAGACGCATAGGATGGGACCTGCATGTTAGTATGAATTATCCGCAAGTTTGATTTAAGAGAGTTTGAATCAACGAGATTCTACTGTACCCGGTAGCAATGAAGCAATTTCCCCAGGTCAATGCAACATCCTATGCTCCGCGATAAACCCATTAAATTGCCAAACGACATTCTATACACAATATTAATGCGGAAGTCGGAGCCTTAATGAGTGCTTCTCTAACACCACCAAACGTGGGCCAAGAGCTGGGCTCCCGAACACGACCAACAGGCCAGTAGCACTCAGCTAGGGGGCGACGGCGCATCCGCAAGACTCCACCGTGTAACGGTGACTTTGGTGTCGGCGAGGCATAACCGTAAAGGTGGCGTCGTAGCGTTCGACCATGCACAAGTCACGTTTGAATACCAGCGTCTGTCATCGAAAAATGTACCACCCGTGGCCTTATCGTCCTATCGAAACGCCAAGAATGCATTCCACTCAGCTGCTTTCTTCGTAGCGCCTTTCAGCAATGTGAGGGACCATAAGAATGCACAATTGAAACGAGACCTAGAAAGGTGTGATTTTGCTTGCAAGGGTCGCTGCAAACTTTAAAACGTGGGCCAATGGGTAAAAAAAAAGTGTGAAAAAATGCCTTTCTATGCCTTCGTTTGAAGAGGAACCAAGAGGCTCACGTCAGGATTGTCGCAGCCAATCATTTCTCCGTAGGAGACCTGGTGGCAGAGGCAGTAGGTGGGCTCGTTGGGGTCCACGGGCATGTCCAGCACGTCCGACGGATGGGAGATGCTGATTGACTGGAGCAGAGGGACCTCCACGGGCCTGCACGCACGGACACAGAAACAAATTTGAGTGGATGCCCAGGGGCTAACTGCGATCAATTTTAACACGGAGTGTGTTATACGGCTAGCTCCTAGCCATTTCCTGTAACGCACTCCCGTAACCAAAGAGCATAACGCGTTGGCGTTTGGCTGAAACTTGTCTTCGCTGACCAAACTTGAGTCCGATCCGCGCCCCACGTTGGCCGCCGGTGAACGACAACGGAAACCCAGAGGGTCTCAAAATCGACAATCTCGAGAAGCGCCCGTCTCTCCTCGTGGATAGCCCAAGAATTTCTCTCCGTCTCGGCCTTAAAGGAGGACACCACCTGAATGGGTCGACATTTGAACCTTTGGCTTAATATGAATGAAATTTATAGTATATGCAGGTAGCTGCGAGGCAGAATGCAGTGCAAAGTTTCATCTGCATATATAAACTGTGAAGTAAATTATAACCATTTTTATCAGGAACACACTGACATCATTGAGGAAAACTATGATTAGAAAACCAATGTAATACCCAGCATTTTTCTTCACTAGATATGCAGCAGAATGCCTGGGGAATGGAACTGTGAAAACAAAATTTCCAAAAATTAATTTATTTTATGGTAACATCGCACTGAAAAATCAAATAAATTTTTTGCCATTTATGTTATCGACAATATCTTAACATCTTTTATAAAAGGCACCCACAAAGTAAAACAAAAATGCCACAGTGCCACTGCCCATTAAATTCCAGTTGGGAGAAACAATGAGTGAGCCTTTTCTTTTGTCCCATTACCGAACGATAGGTTTCTTACAGTGAACTTTATGCCAAAATGTGGAACGGAGAAAAACGGGTTCAAAGTACTCAAACCTCTACCTTTTCTTTAGCATCGGTGGACGGAAAATAATTTATAAAGAAAGTAACTGTGCAGTGTGAACAAATGAAACTTTCTGGGAATACTCTATGATGTTGGTGGATAAACATGACATTTCTCAAAATTAACTATTTTTGCAGGTGCAGAAGCCTACAGACTTTGTAGCAGTAATGTACATACTAGGAAATGTCTGGCACAGGGTTGTGCATCAATGTCAAGGGGCAGGGATGGCCCAGGAAATTTGGGAGACTAAGGGAACTCCAAAGGTCCTGTGGAAAAGCCCCGAGTTCTGAGGAACCCTGTTTGAGAAGCCATAATCTAAGAGGTGTCGAGAGGAACACGCTCGCACATATGCTGGGAGAATGTGCAGGAGGCGAGGGGGAAGGGAATAAGCACTTGGTTCAGAGGAAACCGGGAGATACGGCATGGCAGGGTCAAAGCCGGGCCGTGCGACCTCGAGAGACGGGAACGTTGCATTCCACTCTCGTCGTAGCGCTAGCTTGGTGCTGTTTGCTTTCAGAGACGCTACGCACGATGACGTTTGCGCCATCGGGGCATGAAATGCGTATTGTGTTTGCATGTACAACATCACTCATTGGGAAAGCACCCTGAATACGGATTGTGGGCACCTTGGCAGCCCAAAGACCAGGTTGCTTTCACAAAACAAAACTTTCCTGTTACAGACACTATTTACAGCATATTGCTGCACACAGAAAGTATGCATGTACAGTATGCAAACTGAAGACATTGACCATTAAATTCTTACCGGTATGATTCCAAATAGAAGTAAACTGGTCCCTAAACAGGAGCAGGGAAAGTCCTTCTCCGTAGAGGTTACCTAAACTTACAAAGATGAAATGTCTAGACTCCGCACAAACAAAAAGCGGCCTTGTCCACGAGTCTTCAACTTTAGAGATGTTAATGCACACCTGTACCTAGCTCTCCTGATGTACGGTGTGCTGTCCAAAGAGGATCGCAAACAAATTACAGTATTCTTCAAATGCCTCTCCTGTGACAAGATGTAGTCCGTGAACATGCAGGGGTGAGACAGACCATACTGGTTTTGGAGCATATTTTGGGGCAGAAAAATCTGCAATCTGGAGCAGCTTAAAAGCAGAAAAACCTGCCTTTTGGAGCAACTTAGGAGCAGAAAGGTCTGCATTTTGGAGCACTAAGGGTTAAAAAAAATTGTATTTTAGAGCACCTTAGCAGTAACTGTGACATCATTTTAAGAAAGTATAGCCAGTTCTATTACGGGTTACAATTAGAGCAAACTAAGTTTGTACGACAGTAGTCATGTGCGAATAGCTTATTCTGAGTTTGAAGCGAAGTCGAAGCGAATAGTGGTTTTGGCAGAATATTTTCAAATGAAATATCAAACAGTTTTTCCAAGCTTCTTATTACTGTTGCACCAAGCTTAAACGAAAACCCAGCTTAACTCGTGAAGGTTGTTCGCAAGCTTGCACCTGTCCATTAGCAAGCTAATTTTAACTTAACTATATTTATTGACTGTGATCTCAGAAATTCCAATGCCTTGGGAACATAAAACCTATAGAGATGTCTAGCTACAGCTAATTGAGTGGATTTACACACCTTGCTATATGCAAATATTCTTTCTTAAATCTCGAATAAAAAAAAGAATGAATCAGAAGTGATGAATGCAGGTTGTCGGGCCATCACTGCTTAACGTATACTCTCGCATAACATCCACAGTTTAATTTTGAAAATTTGTTGGCAATGCAGATATCAACATTCGCAAAGTTTCTGTGGCTTTTTACATACACCAGGCACACGCGTGCACAATATTGCTTTGAAAGTGTGCTTTTCTCCCAAGCACGCAATTGCGATAATCATACTGTTCCAAGTGTTGATCGCAGCGGGCTACTCCGTTGAGTGCGCTTTTTACCGAGCACCAACACACTGCAGAGAAGCAACACCCGCACCACTACGCTTCTGACGTGCTCAAATTCCTTCTGAAAATTACTGATTCAGTGGCTTTCAATGATGCTCAGAAAGTTTTTAATTAGAACCATGTGTCGATTTTCACTAATTAAAAAGTTAACTAGTCATTTTTATTTATTAGTGAATGAATTAGTAAGTATCACACATTTTCTGACGTCTGCCACCAAGAATAATGCGGTCCTGAGAAAATTATCCTTTTATCTCGAATACACTAATTTTAGGATTTTTGTCAGTCTTTCCTGAAACACCCAGTCTTTGCTGGAACACCCAGTATATTAGAACAGTTTGTTTCACTTGTTTTAGTTGTCTTGCCAAAGAAGAGTTTGTGGATCGCAACTAGAAGAGGCACTCTCTTTTCATCGCAACGTAGTAGAATTGTTCCGACTCCGAAAAACTTACCCACACCATGGCACAGTAAAGGGAAACATTGATGGCAGCGGAATTTTCTTACTCAAAGCTAGCGATAGCACGGTAGTTTCCAATACAGCACTAACTTCTCTCAATGCGAAATATTTATATTACTGCAAAGGCTACAAGTTATACAAAAAAAAAAATGCATTGAACTTGCAACTTTACAGCCCACAGTACAAGTATTATGTAACTATTTGAGTTGGGATTCCTTGTTTTGTTTAATTTCCACACTCATAAACCGAAACTTCTCTTTTAAAAGGAACAAATATTTAACATAAACAGTGCACTTCAGCCGGAAACAGGCATCCGTCATGATAATCCATGCTTCCCAACGTCTGCCTAGAGCAGACGATACATCTACACAAGCGATTATTTAAATTCAGGACATACATTGATAACACGATTCAATCTTCACTGAAGCACCCAACAGTACTGCACCATTCTCTGCTAAAATTGTTTTCCCACCGATACTGTGTGACAAAATAAACGCAAGAATCTACAAAGTCTCGCACGCGAACGTGGAGAGCCTATGGGGCGGCCATGCTTCTATCCCCGCTTTGATGATGATGATAGCACAACAGTAGCGCCACCTCGAGGTCGATCTCAAAGCCAATTGACAACCAGCTAGTTCCCAGCTGGATACCTTCCTAACAAATTGGATACTTTCCCAATAATTAATATTGGCAGACTTACTGCGACACTTGACCCTTCAGCTTCTTGCGAGCAGGCTTCGGCACCTCGTCATCTGAAGACATGGAGCGCCCTCTGCTCTTCTTTTTCTTGTCAGCTTTCTCTTGAATTTTTCTGCCTCGTTCTGCAAATTAAAGTATAGCATGCAATCGGAAGCCCGCACACACTGCTATACATTGTAAACATGATCTCAACCTAACAGCTAAACATCACAAAAACCCATTGAATGCAGCAGGACGTTCATCCCGGGAGGTGAAAAGTGTGCGGGGAAAAGAATTCTGCTCGTGAGCACACTCACTCTTGGTGGTGCTCTCGGAGTCGCTCCCTTGTGAGTTAAGAACCTTGTCCTTGAGTTCAGCCTCGAAACGGGCTAGGTCCGCATCGAGACGGCGAATATGTTTGTCCACCTGCGAAATATAGAGATGGCCCCATTGATATAGTAAACAATGTCTAGCAATGGAGGGTAATTGGAAACTGCAAGCGATTTGCACAAACTTTCATCGCCACATCCACTTTCTGCTTTGAGGGCCCCCAAGTTAAACACAACATATGACTGCTCCTGAAATATGGCAATGAAATGATGCCGGAGTGATAATGAAAATGCTCACTCTAATGTGGCAGCAAAGCTTGAGCGGAAGCAGCGTAGCCCAGCCAAGACTGAGTAGACCTTTTCAGAAAATTCCAACACACTTAGCAGCGAGGGGAATTGTGGGGCTGTTCCGATGCAGGTTCATGGCGACTCGAATGCTTTGAATATCCCAGGAGTAGCACGATACATTTTCCCTCACCATAACGAGCTTAGAATGCACAAAACTAAAATGACCACAAAAGGAGGTCGTCACACACTCTGCTTTGATTTCCTTCTGCCTTCTCTGCATTCTGATATCACAAAATGTCAAGCTGACGTCCATTTCGTCTTTGGTTCCTGGGAAACCTCGCATACCGTACATCGGAACGTTACAATCCGTCAAGCAGACGGTGGGGGAGTCAGATATTTCTGGAAAGGTCTACTGTCAAGCCCGGCTGTGCTAATCAAGTGTCTGCAATGCACTGCAACAGTGTCGATAGAACAACAGGTGAAAGTCTGTATGGGGACTGGCCACATGCACAAGCAAGTGTGAGAATGATCCTAATGTCTCACTGTTAGCATTGCTACCATCCCAGATATGGTTTCAAGCCTAATTGAGACTGGATGTACAAACAAACCATAAACCTTCAATTTCCTTTTTAATGATACAAACTACACCTAGTATATTGGGAATCCCCCATCTCTCAGAGTCAACCAAAATCCAGAAAAGCCAAGAATGGATCATACTTGCCACACTTTAACCTCTTGGAGAGTAGGAATGTGCACACAGGCTGCAAATCTAACATGCTACTCTAACATCTGTAGAATAGTCATAAGTTCAAACTTTACAAGCTGCATGTTATGTAGTGCAACATGACGGTGGTCAACATTTCCCAAGTTTGCATTTACTTGTCACCGTAAAATACTGCAGCCAAATGTGACCTATGGATTGGACAAGAGCACTGCTCTAAGCTGTACACAAAACCAAAGTTATGTGTAAAATCCATGAAACTTTGTAAAATGTGCCTGAACACAGACATGTTTAAGTTACAAGTCCCGTCCAAAACTATCAGGGGCAAGATGCTTGCAAGTGCAACCCTGCTACTGCTCATACCTGCCACATGCTCATACCTGCCAGAACGACACACTAACTTCTCGAGGCCTATCACAGAGGTAGTGCAAGCTCCCATTAAAGAATTATAAAAACTGCAGGAAAAAAAAAGTATCAGATACCTGTTGGTTTGTGTGACCCAGGGGTGAGGTACATCTTATATCACATTCACATGACAGCATAAAGGTACCTTTAGCTACGGAACCTTTAGTAAAGGGAGCTGGAGATCGTTATCACAAGGTGCATAAAGATACCTTTACCTAAGGGAGGGCCTACGTTAAAGAGAGCACGCCAACCTCCTTTTACAGGTACCAGGAGTAGCCTCGGTCCCATGAGCTCGAAATAAAAATGGTATATAAATTTATGCCCTTTCATGAGCTATAGCAAATTCTATATCTTTAAATAGCAATTATTAATTAGATTAACTCTGAAAACAATTGTGATGGCATACGCTAGCAAGAAACGTATACTCACGCTAGCAGGTCCAATTATCACGTGTTCCATGGAACGTGCCTATTTCAAAATTACGGTCATTTAAAACATCAGGGGCGTTCATAAAGTTTGTATTATAGTCACGAAGGAATAGAGATTCGGCAATGAAACTCGGGTAGGGGTCTAGTCTATCTCTACATGTGCACCGCTCAAAGTCACGCACTTTTGCCGCGGATAGGCAACCTGCTGGAGGCCATTGTTATAAAACTCATCGTTATGAGCGTTCAGGAATCGCTGCACTTCAGAAATCACTCAGTTGTTGTCTTTGAAATGCTTCCACGCACTGGAGTCTTCTTGCAAGGGAAGAGAATGAAGTCACTGGGTGTGAGGTCGGGTGAATACGGGGGACACGCAAAATCTCGCAACCTAAAGAGGCCGTGTGTGGCTACGATGCCAGTGCCAAGTGAGCCGGGGCATAGTCGCGAAGCAGACAGACGCCTTTCGTGAGCTTCCTTCTGCGCTTTGCCTCGGTAGTTTCTCGCAACTTTCTCAGAAGATGACAATCATAGTTTTCTGCGACTGTTTGACCTTCACAAGCATAATCTGTTAAGAGAACGCCACGACAGTTACAAAGCGCATGCAGCACGACCTTTCCCCGCAACGACACAGTCCTGGCCTTTTTTGGCGCCGGTGAGTTCACGTGCTGCCACTGTTTGCTTCATAATTTTGTCTCTGGATTGTGGCGGTGAACCCAATACTTGTCCATAGTGACGTGGCGGTGAAAAAAGTAGTCCAGGTCGCTCTCTAGCAGCTGCAACGCTTTAACGGTTGCTTCCTTCCGGAGGTCGTTTTGCGTGGGGGTCGGCAGCCGTGGAAGCAAGCATGCGGAAGGGTAAGCTTCACCGCATAGCACGCAACGTTCATACTGCGCCAAAAAAAGAGAAACGTGCGCTCGTGTTAATGCTTGTTTTGTTCCCCTTTCTTCAGTTTTTGGTGCCAATAACGCAAACTTGATGGGCGCCCCTTGTACAATGCGACGGTGTACGCAAAGAATGGCGTCGAGCTCGGAAGTCTATATTATCATACTCGCTCCCAAGCAATGGCGCATGCTTCTCGAAGTCTATGTTTGGCGGTGTTGGACGTTTATCTTGGAGGGTCCCAAAGAGAAGCACCTCATTTCAGAATTACCTCGTATGATGTCTGCCACCAGGTTTCTTGTATAACGAAGCAAAACAACAGGAACTACAACTAGGTAATGGCTTTCGAAGGAATACTTTTACCAGTCCTTTGCATTTATTGAAACGCACTGCCTGAAATCTCGGCCCTGTAATGGCGGCCACAATGCCCCGTCAGTTCAAGGCAGCCAAACATGTGGAAATATGGCGAACCTTTTACAGGATAGCATACGCGGATGCGTCGGCGAATCGTTCATAGACAAACCTCTCAATTCGAAACGATACCTCAGCTTCATCATTGGACCACCTTAAAGGGGTCCTGAAATCCTATTTAAGCATCTACCTCTTTTGCTGTTTCCACATCTCATGTGGTTCCGGCAGCCCAGCGGGCAAGGAGAGAGTCACTAAATATCAGTGCGTCTTATTTTAACCGGACGACGTGGAATCCTCCTACTCCTCCGGAGACGCCCCGTAGTGCCGAACGCGCGCGGCATGTGACGAATTTGTGACGTCGGCGGTCTCGGTCAGCTCCTGCCTTACAACTGGTCAGAGCCGCTAAAAGCTTTTTTAGTTGAAATACAAAATATAAGTGGCGCAAACCGTTTCAATTATTTATGAAAGTAGTTTTTGTTCCTTATTCCAGATAAGAAAAGAAAGAAATACAATTTAGAAAGTACCGAAACAAAAAACAATGAGCAATGACCTAGAGCTATGATGACCCAACGACATACCCGCCACCAATCGGTAAAAAAAGCGGTGCAGGCCGGCGCAGGCGCCCCCGCGGATCCTAGCAGACGGCGCACGATGCCCGCAGCACATTTTTTAAGAAGCGAAAGTATAACTTCGTCTCCTGTGGTCTCGGGCCACAGGAGACCCACCCAGAACTTGCCCGGAACTTTAGCGTCGTCGAGTTAGGGCCAAGAGGCTTCGCTAGCATGCTCCAGACGCTTACGAGAAATGTCCTCATACGATATTACTCCCAGCTCCGCACTGCAATCGAGGATTCGGAGTTCCAACTCCGACAGACCCAGCAAATTCATGCCGGCAAGCACGGTGGAGGGCTGAAGCAAGCAACGAGCCGTTGACGCGCAAGCGGCTGCAGGAAAGTGACCATCAGCGCAAGCCGCAGGTAACTGGCCGGTCGCTTTGCTTCTACCATTGGCCACCCAAGCCAGGACCAGGGACGTCACGAAGGAGGTTATTTTTTGCTTGTTTTCGTAATATTAGTTTGCCTGTAACTTTTAATATAGAGATAATTTCGAGAAAGAAAAGTTTCACTTATTTACTACGTTTAGTGCACTCAGGTTTGGTGCAAACTAAAAACCAGTCAAAACGTTTTTGCAGGGCCCCTTTAAGGTGAGTGTTGCACACATTGTTCAATCTCATCCTGCTCTATCTAGCATGTAGAAAGGCCTTTCTTCCTTGTTCGTGCTAGTTCAAGTGCCGCAAATCGTTATAATTAGGCCGCTACAAAGAATATGGCCAGTACCATTTATCCAAGCATTCATCCTCCGTTCACTCACCTTGTGACACCAAACGACCTTTACTAAAGGTACCTTTATGCTGCAATGTGAATGGGGTATTAGTCCATTCTGATCTGGAGATCAGGAAATAGATGCAGTGTGTGGAGCACGTAGAGAGGAGGACGAGTACTTGATACCCTACAGCAAAGGGCTTCACCCTGCAGTTGCCTGAGGCAGGACTGATTTATTAAAGGCGATAGAGATTAAGAAAAATAAGGGGAAAAGACGTGCTAGGAAGGTGGAGACAACTAAGCAGAAGTCATCTAACAGGTAACATAAGTCGAGGAAAGGATTAATCATTTTCTTATTCTCTTCCTGAAGATGCAGAGCATGGAAAGTGCATGCACCTTGCTGCACACGAATTGAAATTCTTAGAAATTATACTACTAAAAGGCTTAAGGCCCATTCACACTCTTGTAACCGAGTACAACCGAGAAAGACGAGACTCGTTAAAGCCTTTTAATATTTCTTAAGACGAGAGAACACACTGGCACGCTGGCACCATATATGCGGTGACCCTGGAACTGCATTTCACAAGAGCGAAGGTTTTGCAGGATTTCTGAGGTCAAATGAGCATAATACCTATAAGAAAGGCTCATTTATAATGTTGACAAACGTTTTTCGAGCCAAGAAAGAAAGAATAATGCACGAGAGAAAAAGAAAATATGCCGGACTGCTAAGTTAACACTGCTACCCAATAGATGGCGCCAGTGTGTCCTCTCGTAAGAGGTTTTAAGAAACCCAGTTTTAAAGGCCCGTTCACACTCTTGCAACCAAGTACGACCGAGAGAGACGAGGCCTGTTGAAATCTCTTAAAATTTCTTAGGACGAGGGAACACACTGGCATTCTGGGGCCTTCTATGTGGTGACCCTGGAACTGCATTTCATAAGAGCAAAGGTTTTGCAGGATTTCCGAGGTAAAATGTGCTTAATACCTATAAAAAAAGGCTTGGTTATAACTTTGACAAAAGTTTTTCGAGCCGAGAAAGAATAATGCACGAGAGAAATAGAAAGTATGCCGGACTCCCAAGTTTACACTGCTACCCAATAGATGGCGCCAGTGTGTCCTCTCGTAAAAGGTTTCAAGGCACCCAGTTCTAAGAGGTCGCAAGAGTGAGAACGGGCCTTAAGGGGTCGCAAGAGTGTCAACGGGCCTTTAAACTTAATTTTTTATATGTAAATAAATAATAACTGTTCAGATTTTAAAAAAAAAATCTCCCACTCGGTGGTGTAAGCTGCTACCCAATCCTAGGGGCTCAGACATATTCACCCATCCACCAAGACTCACATTCCTTCGTTGCAATATGCATTCGCTAGGTATCGCTTGCTGCCTCCTCTTTCTACGTCTCTCACCCATCCTCCCTTTTTACCCATTTTACATCCAGCACTTTACCCCGCTGTTATACAAAAATATGTTGCAATGTACATTCAATCTCCGGCACCCTCCAGAGCGAAACGTGGGTACCCCTACACTAGATAAAACCGCGCACACACACACACACATGCAAAACGAATCAAATAAAGTCGAATAAAATACGACCGACGGCGCACCATTTCGTACGTCTGCATGGCAAGTTGAACTTTGTCGTCGCCGTACTCCTTCGCCTTCTCGAACATCTTGCGGATGTTCTCCAGATGCTCCGAACGCTCGGATGCTGTGTAGGTCTTGGCATTGGTCAGGTACGTGTGCGAAAGCTTCTCAATGTTCTTTGATATCCCCTGCACCCGGGAGTCGAGGTCCCGCATCAAATTGAAATTCCGTTGCAGCTCTGCCGGCAATGTCTCCAAACCTGAAAGAGGATCGAGGTACGAACAAGTGGAGAGAAATGTGCGCACGGAAGTGTGGCTTGGGTTATACATATTTGCCAAAGGCTTAGGTATACTTAGTTCGAAAGTGCTCGGCCGTCGATCGTTTATTGTTTCTCAAACTTGGCCTTCAAAGTACCGATTTGCGGCAACTGTTAGTAGTCAAAGGCAGTACCCGCCAAAATCGCAGCACGGACATTATAAAGTCTACGAAGGTATTAATCTGGGATATGCGAAAGAACGTGAGCAATGCATTCGAGCTACACTTCACGCAATGTTCCTTCAGTGAGGATAAATTCATTTCGATCGAAAATACTTACTGTCGAGATAATGCTCCAGATACACGGCAGTCGCCATTTTGAAAACTATTGATGTTGATGTAATTGAGTTGGTTAGACTCGAGCGAGGAACTACTACCTGACAACACGACAAATCAGGGAACAAAACAAAACTAGAGGTACCGAAGCTCAGTCATAAAATTTGTGTCTTTATATATATCTATATATAAATAACCTTGTCATTTATGGGTGTTTATGCAGGGTGTGCGGAGGCAAAACAAAGACCAACACGAGCAACCTTCTGGAGTGACTCGCGAGTGGCGCGTACTTTTAAAAGCTTTAAAAGGTTCGCAGCCGACGAGCAACTGCGGTACTCCCAGAAATTTACTTATACGAGATCGACATACCTTCCCGGTACTTTGGGTGAAAAAAAAAAAAAGAAAGAAAAAAGAACTTGTTCCCCAAAAGAAACGACAAATCTGCAGAAGGTATCGTGAGCGCATTTTCACGACTACTTTCGAGTCACCTGGTTCATACACCTTTAGGTAGATGGATAGTCTTTATTCGACCCTGGAGGGTCGCAGCATCACAGAAAGGCCATTGGCCCATACCTGAGGCATGTGGTGCCGCAGTATTACAGGAACTTAACACAACAGCAACAAGAACATTAAGAGTGATTAGTATTTAACGCAAAGGTCATATGGGATGGTATATGTCAGTCCGAAAAGGAGGTGTCAGTCACTGCCAGAGGAAGTCTAATGCCTCCTTGCACCAGGCTTTCATGTCCTCTTTCTCTTGGGGGGGGGGGGGGGGGGGGGGGGGGGGGGGGGCACTTGGTGAGCTGTTTTGGTAGTGAGCGCCACAGTGCTACACTCCTGATGAGGAATGAATTCCGGTGTCGCGTAGTGCGGCCGAAGGGTGGCTGCAATCCACCGGATCGCGATAGCGTAGGCTTTCCACCAGCGGGAGTGTTTAATTGCTTGGGAGGAGGGAGCTTGCAAGAAGCCGGAGTGACGCAACCTGTCGGCGGAGAAACAATGGGCTCCATCCAACCAATTTTAGGAGTTCCTGCGTGGGTAGGTCGCGGTAACGCGGCAGACCTGGGGAAGCCTGCCGACATAGAACTGAGTAGGCTGCACGCCGCTGTACGCTTTCGAGGGACGCTATTAATGCAGTCTGCTAGGGGTTCCAGACCGAAGCACAGTACTCCAAGTGTGGTAGCATGAGTGCGGTGTACAGGTGCCGCAGTGTGCTGGGACCAGTTCCCCGAGTGACCCGGAGCACAAACCCCAGCAGCCTACGGGCCTTTGAGATCACCTCACCGATGTGAACAGCAAAAATTAATTTAGGGTCTAATGTGACACCGAGGAGTCTTGTGCGATCGATAACAGGGAGCATCGCTCCGTTCAGCGGGAAGCTGCGTTGTTCAGTAATGAGGCCTCTAGATGTACTGAGGAACGTAGATGTGCACTTGTTGATGTTTAATGAGAGCCTGTTTTTATTGACCAGTCATGAACTGCGTTAAGGTCATGTTGGAGTTGCTGATAGTGTACGGGGCACTGGACTGGATGAATTATGGTCAGATCGTCTGCATAAAGGAGGGATGTGCACTGTAGCGAAGATATTACATCGTTAAGTCTTAGAACTTACAAGTCCTTAAACGCGTTCACCTATTTCGTGAACAGCAAGGCATCGGCGATGGGCACTATACCTCCCCCAGATGCCGAAGATACGGCGGAAACATACGCATGTTTATAAATATCTCCACGACAGTCGAGCTGTGTCGTAGCTAGAAACTGTGGCCCGCGCCCAGCCTATCGATTCTACGCCTGCTGCGCTTCGTTATGTACCCTAACTATAAAGCAAATGCAGTCTGTTTTCTACAGACCGTTACTATCCTGACAACGATAGTATTCAACGTGGAACGTCAGCGCTGTAACGATTGCCTGTTGGCATGTTTTGGGTAATGTACCTTGCATCAGCGGGGAGTTTTCTTTTTATCTCCTGGCCACTAAATTACTAGCAGCCAAAGCAAGAACAAATTATAGGAACATATGATTGCGTAACTATGTCGACCCGACAGGTTGGACCAATACTTACCCTAGCATTACAGGTGTCCTATGCACATCCACAGGACATCCCTGGAACGTCGGGACATCCTGAGGATATCCGGAGGGCCATGTGTGCTACTTGGGTAGGTACTTTTAGAGCGATGATTTTCGCGCCCGCCTGCAAATTTGATAGCTGCGCTCTTATCGCTCTACAACGTTTGGTTTTTTTTCTTTTCGTTGCGGCCGCTATGCAGGACGTCCGCTGGGACGTATTATTGCTGTCGTGACAAATTGAACCAGCTCAGCTTGACTCAATTAAAAACAAATACCTCCGACTTGCATAGCAATACCAACAATTTATAAAACGTTCCGTCTCCTATGCGGGAGACATCATCAGTGCGGCCTAGGAACACCTGACTAGCTATCAGCGTTTACCATTCCATTTATATAGCGCTCTCTGGGCGGCACTATTTTGTTCGACAGCAGCGCCCTCTCCATACATCCGGGAAATTCAGCGGGTACGGCCGGGGGGCACGCGCCCGACTCCGCTAGCAGACGACAAAACGGGAGGTTGCCATTCTCCATCTTTGGGCTGTGTCGGCGGGCTGTACGGAACATCGAACTCTCGCTCATGGCTGCCGTTGTGAAGTGGTTCGCGTTCATAGAATAGTTATGGTTACTCCAAAATCAGCCTAGAGCTCTCTGTTGTTCTACTTCGGTAAATGATCAACTGACATACCTTTTTTCCGTTACTTAAATAGCAGTTGAGTCAGCCGGCAGTAGTACCCTCAATTACTGCGTGTATTGCGGCAGGAGAGCACGTTTTTATTTATTATTTCATACATCCACTCATGGTCGCTAAAGGCCTACACCAGTACGAACTTTGTATGGTAAAAAAGGTACAGCCACCGGATTCACTTTCCGCCGGAGAGACCGGCCAGTCTGACACAGTTTTCCCTTTTTTTTTTTTTTTTTTTGCACGCAGATAACAGCGCAATTGGACTCTGTTAGTATTTTTTATCTAGCATGGTAATACACGATAACTGGCATACCAAAATCTGCGCTTGAGATCCCCAAAATGACGTGATTTTTGTACGCCAGCCGGATGCTAGGTACTGCCCACTCGGCGGAGCAGACGACATCCGGGCGAGAGGGGGAGGTCATTTTTTCTCTTTTTACCCTTTCTGCTATGACCCTAATGGAACACTGATGATGTCTCCCGCAGAGGAGACGAAACGTCTTATAAATTGTTGGTATTGTTATGCAAGTCGGAGGTGTTTGTTTTTAATCATGAATCCCGGCTTTTGGAACATTTTTGCATCAACTTGACTCGAGGTTGGGAGATGTTTTATTGACTATTTATTTATTTATTTATTTATTTTACCCTCAGGGCACAAAGGCATTACAGAGGGGAGTGGGGAATAATAGTAATAAGAATACACAAGGAACAATGAACAAAAAACTCAAACAATAGGGAACATGAGGTTGGCAATAGAACTATACAAAAAAGAGCGTTGTCAGTCATTGATGTGAGAGGTGCAGGTAAGCGGTTCCAATCATTACAAGTTCTTGGAATAAAAGAAGCGTAATAAACGTCAGAGTGACAAAATGGTACACCAACTTTTTGACGATGATCAAGGCGTGCTGAAACAAAGTATGGGGGGATTATCATTTGGGCTTTGAGGTAAGGAACACGGCGATAGATTTTATGAAAAAGGGAGATTCGAAAAACCATGCGACGATGTGCGAGGGTTGGAAGAAATAATGTGCTTTTCATTGACGTTACGCTTGCGGTGCGGTTATAGTTGGCCAGTATAAACCGTGTAGCTCTGTTCTGAACACCTTCAAGTAAGTTGATGAGGTAGATGGTTGAGGGATCCCAGATGGAAGCTGCATATTCGAGCTTAGGCCTAACTAGTGTTTTATAAAGAGTCAGTTTTAATGACGATGGACCTAAAGGAAAGTTAAGTTTGAGAAAGCCAAGCATTCGGTTAGCGTTGTTAATCACACAGTTAATATGAAGTTAATAGGAGGTCACAAGTTCCAGGGGTGTGTTGTGAATGTTACAACCGGTAGTAAATTTGACTTTGCGGGCTATGCGCATGATTTTGCATTTGTTAATGTTAAGTTCCATTAACCAGAGTTTGCACCATTTAAATATGGAGTCGAGGTCATGTTGTAGTTTTTGCGAGTCCGAGTCATTAGTTATTACATGATATAGCACAATCATCAGCAAAGAGTTTAATTGAAGAGAAACCATCTCATGCAAGTCAATAATATAGATCAAGAAAAGTAAAGGCCCCAAAACTGATCCTTGGGGTACGCCAGAAGTGACGGGTGCGGAGGAGGAGTTCATGCCGTTACATGTTACAAATTGCGAGCGATTTATTAAAAATAATACCAACCAGTTAAACACGTTAGAATCAATGTTGAGTTTACTTAATTTATGCAATAAAAGTCTATGCGATACCTTGTCGAACGCTTTGGCAAAATCTAAGAATATGCAGTCCACCTGAGATCCCTGATCAAATGCTGGATGAAAATCGTTAGTGATAAACAGTAGCTGTGTCTCACAGGACAAGGATTTCCTAAAGCCATGTTGATTTGGGAAAAAAAATGAATTGGACTCTAGGAAGTTAACAAGTTGTGTATAAATGATATGTTCTAGAACTTTACAAGGAACACTGGTTAGCGAGATGGGCCTATAGTTGATAGGAAAGTGCTTATCACCAGATTTATGCAGAGGAATAACTTTACCAATTTTCCAGTCGCAGGGTACCAATGATGTGTCAAGTGATTGCTGAAAAATATGGGCGAGAATAACAGAGGAGTACTGATTTGTAGCTTTAAGAAATTTCGAGTTAATTTCGTCAACACCAGTTGCTGATGACAGCTTTAGGCCGTTTAGAATGCTCAGAACACCATCGGGGCTGATTATGATAGGGTCCATCAGTGGGAAAGGATCAACATTATAGCTCGGGTTCACATTGCTTAGGGAGCTAGAAAAGGATTTAATAAACACTTCCTGGAACATTGTGGCACATAAGGATTCATCGATCAAAGTTTTGTTAGGTGTTTTCAATAAAATAGACGAAGGTTTATCTCGATGGGACAATACATTCCAGAACTGACGCGGGTTATTTTTTAACATGGAAGGTAGTAAGGTGAAGAAGTTGAACTTAGCAGACTGAACAGCATTCTTGTAGCACTGAGCAGCACTGAAATAATTTTGCCAGCGAACTGGACAGGATGTGAGTCTCGCAGCTCTAAATAAACGCTTCTTTTTGT